GCTATAGGTAGCTATTATAAAGCTATAATCCCTCTAGAAAATAGGGAAAAATCCTATAAGCTAAAACCTAGAACTGAACTAGCTAGATTATTAGCTATATTAGGTTCTAATTCTTATCTAATTTAGATACCTAAGAGAAGATTAGTAACTAAAACTAGCTATTTAAGGTTTCTAGAGAGTATTAGTTCTTCAGATAAAGATTTTCAGAATATAGAAATTATATCTTCTTCTTCTGAAAATAAAGAACTTATAAATCCCTCTCTTCTAAATACCCCTTTAGAGGGAGAAATAGAAGAATTAGATAATTCTAGAGATTCTGAAATATTAGAATCTTTAGAGGGAGATAAAGAGATTATTTTAGAAGAGCCTATTATAAAGGTTCCTCTAGAAACCTCTAATTCCCCTATAACTTCTGAACCTTTAGAAGGAGAACCTATAGAAATAGATCCTAAGGAACTTCTATACTATAGCTATAATATAAGCTATAAGATTAAGAAGAAAATATTAGATAAGGAACCCTCTTCTTTTAAACAGGCTATAAAGTCAGAAAATAAGAAAGAGTAGTTAGAAGCTATATTTAATAAACTAGAACAACTAGTATATTAAAATTACTTTTCCTTTATAAATAAGACTAATATACCTAAGGATAGAAAAATCCTACTAAATAGGTTAGTCTTAAAATTTAAAAGGGATTCTAATAATATCCCTTATAAGTTTAAAGCTAGGCTAGTTACTAAGGGCTTTATATAAATAGAAGGCTTAGATTTTAAAGAGATTTTTGCTTCTATAGCTATTCCTTTAACTTAGTGAATTTTACTAGCTATAACTAACCAGTTTAACTTAGAAGTTAAACAGGTTAACTTTATAGATACTTTTTTAAATAGCTCCTTAAAAGAAACTATATTTATAGCTATACCTGAGGGCTTTATAGAGCTTTTAAAAGCTAGGCCTTATCTAGTTAGTTATATAACTAAACTAGGTTATAATCCTGATAAAGAACAGGTTATACAGTTAAATAAAGCCTTATATAGTTTAAAACAAAGTCCTAGAGAGTAGTAAGAGTCTCTTAGAGCTCTATTTAAAACCCTAGGATTTTATCCCTTAATTTCTAATCCAGCTATCTATTATAATAAGGTTTTAAAAATCTATATAATAACCTATATTAATAACTGCTTAATAATTAGGCCTAACTTACTAGCTATAAATAAGCTAAAAAGGCAGCTAAATAAAGCCTATAATTTAGAAGATAAAGAACCTGCTTCCTTCTTCTTAGGAATTCAAATTATAAGGGATAGAAAATATAAGACTTTAAAGCTATCTCAGTCTCAGTTTATAGAAAAGGCTTTAGAAACCTTTAGTCTTTTAGATTCTAAACCTAACTTAGTCCCTTTATAACCTAATATTCTAAAATAACCTATAACTAAGAAGCTAGATTATAAAGAGATAAAGTTATATCAAGCTATAATAGGTACCTTAATATATCTTATACTTATAACTAGACCAGTAGAGTTAGCAGTTAAGAACTATAAGTTATAGTGAACTTCCCTGCTGTATTATAGAGGCTTATAAGGGTAAATACCCTGTAAACCCCTTATAATTTCAATATATATAAATAAATATTAAATTAATATTAAATCTATATTATTCCTAATAAAAATTTCCTATAATAATAAATATATATTATACTTATAAAAATAAATTAACTTATAATCTTAAAAATAACTAACTTTTTTATTTCTAAATATATATAATTCTAAATTAAATTAAAATAAATTCTAATATATTAATATTAATTTTAATCTAATCTAATTAATATTTTAATCTAAATATAATTAAAAATAATATAAAATTTAAATAATTAATTTTTAAAAGCTATTTTTACTCTTATTAATTTAATATAATATATAATATACTAAAACTATAAATTATATATTAAATTATAATAGATCTATATAAGAGAATAATTATTCTTAAGATATTATATTTACTTAAACTAATCTTAATTCTCTATAAGTATTTATAGTAGCTATTAGTAATAGACTATATAGTAAAATAATAATCTAAGTAGATATAGTTATTAGATTTATATTATTAAAAGTAGCTTTATTATTATAAATAGATCTTTAATTAATTAAAGAAATATATAATAAATATAGTTAGTAAATAGTTATATTAGATTATCTTAGATAATAATTATTATTACTTTAAGAATTTTATTAATAATATTAAATAGATTCTAAGAGATTAGAATATTTATATTAAATATTATAACTATTTAAAATATCTAGTAATTAATTAATTAAGTAATTAATTAATAATATAATTTAATTAATTAATTAATTAAAATAAGTTTTAATAGAAAGAAAAGATAATTACTATTATTAGATAATAAGCTTTCCCTCTTAGAAGCTATAGCTATAGCTAGACTATTTATATATCTAGCTATATAAATAACTCCTATTATTAGAGTTTTTAAGATATTAATATCTATATCTAAACTAAAAGTATTTAATTTTAATTTTATCTTATAATATTAAAAGTTCAGATATAGATTACTAATATATTTTTAAAAAATATATATTAAATTATATATTATCTGATCTTAGAATATACTCTTATTTATAGTAAAACTAATAAAAAAAAATAATATAAAAAAAAGAATTAAAGAAAATAGTATTAATAGAAAAACTTCTTAACTTTAAAAATATAGTAAAAGACTATTATATTTATTATACTTATTTCTATAGTATTTATATATCAGCGAGTTAAATTGATACCTATATTAGAGGCTGGAAACATCTTTAAAAACACAAGGTTTATCAGATTGGTCCAGGCTGACGTGGTATATAACAAGAACATGCCCGGAAAATGATCTTCCCCCAGTAATAAGCTGGGAAAGCGCCATGAATGTGTGGTGGCCTCCATGAACACATAATTATTCTAAGTAAGACTCAAAATACCGAGCATCTTCTTAAGGAAGAGGTCTCTGAACCCTTGGCAATACGAGCTTCCCGTGGGAATAAATAATGTTCTTTCCGCCAAACCGCCGTTGCTCTCTATCTCCGCCATCATGCCGCATGGGTGGAATCGTGCTGAGCGTGTCCTGTGCGCCAATCTCCAGCGACAGCTTCTGGCCTTGATCAAGCACGAATGCTGTCGGCAAGAATGGAATCTTCACATTGTATACCCTGCCCTTCTCAACCGGCGCTTTTGACACGACGGGCTGTGAAGGAATGCCCCCATTCTCCTGTCCAAACCCGGCAGCGACTTCGTCCCTATGACTGAGCCGCCAGTACCCCTTAGCGAAATGCTCATTTGGCTCACTGTGGTTACCCTCCAAGATGAAGACCTTGCCGTCGCTATCGAAGGCACGCAAGGTCAAGAAGATATCTTGATCCTCGGCCTCCGTGGCAACTTCGAGTTCCACGTACGGCGTGCCGAGGATCTCGAACGGCTCGGTGAGGAGCGTTTCAAGCTCAAATGTCAGTGTGCCCGTGAGCCCAGCGTACTCAAACTTCTTCTTATTGTTACCTGGTGGCTCCGCAAAGCTCAACTCTTGGGATGGTGTTAGATGCAAGATGACGTTCTGGGCGTCGAGGGGTGGAAATGTGATCTCGTTCTCGCGGTACAGGGTCTGATTTCCGCGGTGGGTTATAAGTCGAACTCGGGGTATAGAGAGGATACCAGATTCTTCGTCCCCCTTCAAGAAGTAGTCGAGAAAGCTCTTTTGTAGCGCCACATGCTCTGATTTGTAGTAGCAAGCGAGGTGGTTACCCGTATGCATTTCCAGCCATTTCTGCTCGGAAGAGATGTCCCTGTAAGCGAGAATGTTTCCCGGCAGGTGAACCTCGCTATCAGTCCAATTTCCCGAGATATAGAGGGGTACTTCTATATCTGAGAGCTTGCGAAGTTGTTTGAGCAGTCGCCATGACTCTCCATCGGGGTATTCGTCCTGGGCGACAAGAGCCGGGTAGTCAACGCGATTCGCGGCAAGTTCTGTGGCCGAAAGCGTCTTACTTCCACATTGGTACGGCAACACAATGTTATTGTACCAGTGGATCTGAAAATTGGCGCCTAGAATTCCTCCTTTCCGAGCTGCCTGATAGAGATCGACGGATGCCTCGTAGCTGATCACCGCAGATAGATGGGGAGGTCTCTGCATGGCGGCCCAATATCCACTCATACCGTAATAACTGATACCGCTTAGTGCAACTTTGCCAGAGGACCATGACCGTGTGCCGGCCCATTCAATGACATCGTACAGATCTTCGAAGCGACACGTTAGTACAAGGACTATGTTCACCGTGAGGGAGCTTCAGATGCTCACCTTGACCTTCTGCATCAGCCTGTATTAACAAGGATCGTTCCATGCCAAAGGGATCGAGACGTCCCTGACTGCCGCCAATGCCGCGAGCGTCCACCCTCACGAGCGCGTAACCATATTCTTTTGTCTAAGGAACCGTATCAGATCTTGTACTGTGATACACTCTGCAGCTCGCATAAGCAGAAAAAGATGTGGTGAGCAGCACTAACCCAAAGAATAGGATCTACCAACTCGAAGCAACCATCAGGCCCCACAGGCTCGATCTGCTTGTACATATCGATATACATAGTCGTTTTGGGAAGGCCGAAGTCGAGGACGTGTATGTCCTTGCCATACGGACCAAGACTGAGGATCGCGGGGACTTTGGCGCCTTGCTTAGACGCAGAGAATGGCAAAAAAACGTCGGCACATAGCTCGACACCATCTCGAAGTCTGATGTAGATGTTTTTGATGCGAGTGTATCCCTCCACATCATCGGTTCTTGTTGGATGGCTAGGTTGATTCTGGTTTGCCATGGCGTGAAGGAACAATACGAACTGTGCAAAATTGCAACGTGTTGTGAGTAGACAATACTTTGTGAGTGGAAGATAGACAAGCTAGAAGCATAGCGACTAGATAGCTGAACGACGGTTATAAAGTTATACACGAACCTGGCGAGTCTAGGCCCTTACCGGGGTAGCCAATAAGAACCCCGACAATTTAGGGCCGGCTAGATATTCAACGGTAATTCGAAAGTGGAAATCCCGGCGTAGTGTGGTAAGTTACCCCATTTGTCCTGCGTGTTGAATTTCACAGTATGCAACAGCTGGCTCGCAGGGGTTATATAAGGAAGGTGTTAGATTTTATATAGTAGATAGGCAAAATTATATAGTTATATTTATCTAAGTTATATATCTCTAGTACTTCTGAAGGGAATAATTATATAAATTACTATATAATTTTTTCCTTTTAAATCTAATATTCTTCAAATTTAAAAAAGAAAATATATTTATAATAAATTAATTTTAATTCTAGTTAATTAACTATATTATAGAATATTATAATTTTAATATATCTCTCTAGTACTATATAAACTAAGTTTAATCTTTATTAGTATATAGTAACTTTATAATTAGCTATTATAATTTTCTTTAAAATTTTATAATAATAATTAATTAATCTATTATATTCTAAATATAATTATATTAATCTTATTTAATTTAATTTTTCTACCTAATAAACTTTTTAATAATTTAATTCTATTTAATTCTCTTCTATTTATCTAAATACTATTCTACTAATATTAGAATATTAATATTAAACTTTAAGAATAGCTTCTATCTGGATTAATTCTATATAATATATAATATATTAGAACTAGAAGCTATATCTTAGATTCTTATAATTATTAAGTATTTAGAGATTATTATTTAGTTTCTTCTTCTTAAGTATTTTATATAGAATAGAATTTTTATACTCTTTATAAACTTTATAATATAATATTAGATCTAGTAGCTATAACTACTAGATCTATATAATTAAGAATAGCTTTATAATTATAAGAAATCTAATAATAGAATATAAACTTAATTATTTTATATTATTAATAAAAGTATAAGAGTTCTTACTAATTATTATTATTATATAATTAAGAACCTGATTATATATAATAATTAAACTCTAGCTATAGGAGATAATAATATTAAAGATATCTATTATTATAGTTATAAAAAGAGATCTAATTCCTAGTAATTAATAATAATAAGCTTAGAGAGATATTATAATTAATTATAGATAATAAGTATTCTCTCTTAGAGCTTATAACTAAATTATATATTTAGTAAGCTTTTTTTAGAGTTTTTAAAAATATTATTATCTTACTTTAGCTTATATAAATAAAAAAGTAAAAAAAAATAGAGTTTAAAGTTAGATATAGATTAAAACTTAGTTAGAAATAAATTATATAGATCTAGTTATATATAGCTTAATTTTAAAATATTCTTTATATATAGTAAAAATCTTAAAAAAAAATATCTCTAGATCTTATTATATAAAACTATATTTAATTTTTTAATTAATATATAATAATTTTATAATTAGCTATTATATTTTTCTTTAAATATTTTATTATAATAATTAATTAATTTACTATATTTTAAATATTATTTTATTAATTTTATTTAATTTAATTTTTCTATTTAATAAATTTTTTAATAATTTAATTCTATTTAACTTTTTTCTATTTATAATAAATATTATTTTACTAATATAAAAATACTAATATTAGATTTTAAAAATAAGCTCTATTTAAATTAATTTTATATAATATATAATATATTAAAATTAAAAACTATATCTTAAATTATTATAATTATTAAATATTTAAAAATAATTATTATTTTTTTTTATTAGTTTTACTATAAATAAAAATATATTCTAAGATTAGATAATATATAATTTAATATATATTTTTTAAAAATATAATTAGTAGTTTATATCTAAACTTTTAATACTATAAGATAAAGTTAAAATTAAATACTTTTAGTCTGAATATAGATATTAATATTTTAAAAACTCTAATAATAGGAGCTATTTATATAGCTAGATATATAAATAGCCTAATTATAACTATAGCTCCTAAGAGGGAAAGCTTATTATCTAATAATAATAACTATTTTTTCTTTCTATTAGAACTTATTTTAATTAATTAATTAATTAATTAAATTATATTATTAATTAATTATTTAATTAATTAATTACTAAATATCTTAAATAGTTATAATATCTAATATAAATATTCTAATCTTTTAAAACTTATTTAATACTACTAATAAAATCTTTAAAGTAATAATAATTATTATCTAAGATAATCTAATATAGCTATTTACTAACTATATTTATTATATATCTCTTTAATTAATTAAGAGCTTATTTATAATAATAAAATTACTTTTAATAATATAAATCTAATAACTATATCTACTTAGATTATTATTTTACTATATAGTTTACTATTAATAATTACTATAAGTATTTATAAAGAATTAAAATTAATTTAAATAAATATTATATCTTAAAAATAACTATTTTCTTATATAGATTTACTATAATTTAATATATAACTTATAGTTTTAATATATTATATATTATATTAAATTAATAAAAGTAAAAATAGCTTTTAAAAATTAATTATTTAAGTTTTATATTATTTTTAGTTATATTTAGATTAGAATATTAATTAAATTAGATTAGATTTAATATTAGTATATTAGAGTTTATTTTAATTTAATTTAAAATTATATATATTTAGAAATAAAAAAGTTAGTTACTTTTAAAATTATAAGTTAATTTATCTCTATAAGTATAATATATATTTACTATTATAGGAAATTTTTATTAGAAATAATATAGATTTAATATTAATTTAATATCTATTTATATATACTTAGTTATACTATATAATAAATAATTATTATTAAAATCTAGTTTATTAAACTAAGTTATATTTTCTTTAAATATTTTATATTAAATAGAATATACTAATATTTTTCTATAAGCTCTGGTTTTTTTTTAGTTTTTTTTTTTTAGCTATAAGTAAGATTATTCTAAGATTAAGTATAATATATAATTTATTTATAATATAGGGTTTTTTTATATATATAGTTAGTAGTTTATATCTAGACCTTTTATAGAATAAAGATTAAAATAAATATACTTTCAGTCTGGGTATAGGTATTAATATCTTAAAAACTCTAATAATAGAAGCTATTTATATAGCTAGATATATAAACCTAGCTATAGCTATACCCCCTAAGGGGGAAAGCTTATTATCTATTAATAATAACTATTCTTCTATACTTATCTTAATTAATTAATTATATTTTATCTAAATTATTATTATCTCTATAAGCTTTATAATAAAATATTAGATTTAATAATTATAACTATAAAATTTATATATTTAAAAGTAATTTTATTATTATAATAAAGCTTATAATAGAATATAAGTTTAAATATTTAATATAATTAGAAAAATACTTATAAAAATTATTATTAATAATAATTATTATATATATAAAAATCTAGTTATTTATAATTATTATTATTATTTACTCTAGATACTAGGTCTAGCTAGGCTCTAGTCCCTCTTCTTTATTACTAATAGAGGAAAACCTTATATATAGGATAAAAAAACCTATTCTATCCGTATATTATATAGCTTTATATAGGAGCCAGTTCAGCTTCTTATCCTCCGCTTTCTATATTATATATTCTTTATTTCTATCTTAGCTCTTAACTACTAGTTAGTATTAATAGGGTAGTCTTTAGTCTGTATTCTGTACAGATACAGTATAGTTCTATCTGGGGACTGATTCTCCTATAGTCTTTTATATCAACTTAGGTAGTTATTTATAATAATTAAACTTTAATTATAAAAAATAATATTTATTATACTATAAACAGGGGCTATATAGAGCCTCCTATAAAAGAGCTATAAACAGCTAGTAGATAGAAAGAATTTAAACCTTAAGAATTATATTATCTTATATATAAGTAAAGGTACTATAAACCTAGGTTTTAACTATAAGCTATCTAACTATAGCTACTCTATAGCTAATAACTAAGAATCTATTAATAATACCTAAGCTGGTTATAGCTAGTTTTAAGTATAATAATATTATTAAAAATATTTATTATTATTATAAAAAGAAATAATTAATAATTAATAATAATAAAATTTAAAAAGATATTATAATTAATTATAAATAATAAATATTTCTTTTTAGAATTTATAATTAAACTATATATTTAGTAAACTTTTTTTAAAATTTTTAAAGAAATTATTATTTTATTTTAATTTATTTAAAAAAAATTAAAAAATTAAGAATTAAAAATTAAATATAGATTAAAACTTAGCTAAAAAATAAATTATATAGAGCTAATTATATATAATTTAATTTTAGAATTTTTTATATATAGTAAAAATTCTTAAAATAATAATAATAATAATAATAATAATTATTATTTTAAAGATTTTATTAAAAATATTAATTAGATCTTAATAGATTAGAATATTTATATTAAATATTATAAATATTTAAAAACTTACTAGTTATCTTATAATATAATTTAATTAATTAATTAATTAATATAAGCTTTAAAGTTTAATAGAAAGAAAAAATAATTACTATTATTAAATAATAAGTTTTCTCTTTTAAGAGCTATAGCTAGTTATATATCTCTAGTATATAAGTTCTATTATTAAAGTTTTTATAATATTAATATCTATATCTAGATTAAAATTATTAAATTTTATTTTTATTTTATAAAATTAAATATTTAAATATAAACTACTAATTATATTTTTAAAAAATATATATTAAATTATATATTATTTAATCTTAGAATATACTCTTATTTATAATAAAACTAATAAAAAAATATTATATTTAATCTTAGAATAATCTTATTTATAATTAAATTCTTTTTACAACTTAAAATTATATTATATTCTCTTTTTATATTATATAGTTTTAATACTTTTAGAGAGAATTAATAAGGGATTATATAATGCCTCAGTTTTAACAGATCTCAAGTATTATCCCACCACATTACATCATTAAAGGGAAAGTCGAACAAGCTGTTAAGGTAAACCAGGTCAGAGGTGTCGGCAACCTCGGGCACCGGACCCGTCAGCATGGCATCTGTGGATGGTCTCAGCACCGCGTCCACGATAATACCAATGAGCTGCGAGTATCGGCCAGCGGTGTGGACATCATCCGGCGCGCCACGCCGCAGCGCTGTTACCGTTTGGAGAAGGATTTGTATGTCGGGGTCCTGATCCGTGACGCTTTGCCGATGAAGGATTGCTTCCTGTGTAACCCAGAGTTAGCTATGCGCCGAACCTGCGCGGAAGTTGAGCCCGACCTTGAGGAGATACAATGAAGCAGTGAGTATGAAAAGCCAACACCGCACTGGAATGTAACGAAGCACCTTGGACGGCTCTAGAACATTAACAACTAGACATAACATATCTCGGGCAGCCTGCACCGCCACACGGCGCAAGCACTGAGCATCAGATACCCAATTTTCGTTGCTCTCATTGGCAGATACAAACCCCACGGGTGACACGCTATAGATGACGGCATATCTGAACTCGATAGACAGGCATGCACTGAGGAGAGATGCCTGGTCTGTGTCACATGAGCATCATGCTGGGCTTTGAAACCATTCTAAAACTTACCACAAGATGTAAATTGACGTTGCCAACTCTCCAGTCTCTTATACGTATGCTTGAGGACAGGCACCAGATCATAGCCTTCAGGCGCGGAGGCTGTGTGCTTTAGTCCATGCAAATACTCTCGAGCCTTGCGCATCTCCTCGGTCAGCTCGAAGTAGCTGTCCCAGTGTTCCTTGGCTGGTAGCCCGCAGGCAAAGGTTTTAGAGAAGCTATCCACCACAGCTCTCCTCGCCTTGTCAGGTAGTAATGATTCCAGGTCTAACCGTAGAGCCAGGTGCTCGTCAACAAGGTAAATAAAGACGCATAGGACACGAGCCCAATCTCGCTGAGTGATCTTGTCATCTTCAACACGATTTAATGCACCCAGGGGCTCTACTTCGAAACAGCAGCCCTCCTGCGCCAGAGCGATGGCATTAGCTAGGAGCATCCTGGTCATATTAGCATGGTCCCTGCCGAAAAAAAAGGAAAAAAAAAAGACTTGTCAAAGATGGATATGGGAGTGGGCACTTACCACGACATTTTGTTGCTGCGATATGCAGAAGACGTAATCTCAAGCCTCTCCAAGGAACTCGCCATGCTGTGCCTCTGCTTGCTGCTTAGGTTGGTTATCCCCGCCGGTGTGTCATTCTCGGTCGTGCTGGATGGTATTTCGTACTCCCAGCTGTCGTCTTCTGGAGTGAAGGTACTCGGATTATTGATGGCCTTGGCATGCCAGTCAATCAGTAGCAACAGGGCCGCGATGGTTCCTAGAGATCGTGTCCTCGTAGAACCCCATATTGCTGATTGCAGGCATACTTGTAAGGATGACCATACTTGCCAATGTATCCGTTCAGATCTGATCTCGCCGTGGTCGCCACTGAGAGCGTGGTACCTGGAAGCCAGCGTTATCACCGCTCTCAAGAGCACTGGCTCGTCGATGGCCAGGAGGATGTATCTCGACGGATGATTATAGTACTCCGGTATGATAGGTTTGAGTGGCCATAGGCGTGTGAAGAAGAACATTATAAACTCAATGATTTCATGTACCTTGATGAGCCTTCGCTGAACCAGAAAGAATTGGTTCCATCGTAGGTCACTCTCAATTGCGCTATCCCACCGCAAGTCGTCCTGTTGCGGCAAATGACCCCTGGTGCTGTCCGGTACGCTGCCACCCTGCTCTTGAGTGGACAAGTGCGCGAAATATCGCTCCTCGCTTGCCGCGAATGTGAGGAGGTCAAGCGCATCAGCAGGATTATGAAGCTGCGATGCCGCAATCCTCAGTTTGGGATCTAGCCTGGTGATCCCGTCGGATGCGGTCCCTTGATTGGCACCAGTGTCGTCGAGGTGCGATACGTCTGCGTGGTGACCCTGGCGGGTTTCGGTCTCCTCGTTCTGCGACTGAAGCTCATCTGGCTTCTCGCCTGGTACATTATGAAGGGATAACTGCAGCAGCTGCTCAGGCGCTGGCTCTTCCCCTATTGCTTGAGCGTCTGGTGCGGCTTGGAACGAGCAGCTGTCTGGCGATCGATCCATCGCCGACGCTGTCGAACAAGCCGCATTGAAAACAGCCTGGACTGGCGAGAGAGGTTGGACTCCTCTACGCCTGTATTTGACGGCTCGAAACTCGCAGGACTTGCCTTCTCTCAAGCATCGGACGCACGTGTTTTGTTGGGTTTCGGAGACGTCGCATCTCGATTTACGTTTTCGACATCGCTCGCAAGAGACCTGCGCGCGTCGCCGTCTGGAGTGGTATGGGGACTCTGGCTGGTTCACCGCAACAAAGGATACAGTGGCAGGGAGACTCGCCTGGCCGCTTTCTTGGGTAGTCGGGGAACTTATCATGATGGAACGATGAAGTGCAGGGTCCTGGCTATGACGGAAGAGATTTGAAAAGGAGTTGGTCACAAGGGCCGCTTGCGGAAAAGCGAAGCCGAGGAGAAAAGCTGGGGTAATGATCCACCCCGTGCTGTGATGATAGCGGGGTGGCGATATATATGGCCACAGTGTGTATGACACAGTAACATCCATCTCAATTACCGCAGTCTCTAATTCGCAGACGAGCAGAAGCGCTATGGCCAGCAGATACCAGATTCTATCTACATGAAAGATGTGTATGTTGTGTAAATCTAGCATCAATGACTACCCATGTTAACAAACATGGTACGACACTACCCCCAATCTACACCGCACCACTTACGCGTCGAATACTTTGCCGGGGTTCAACAGCCAATGCGGATCTAGGCTTCTCTTAAGCATCCTCATCACGTTAATGGTTGCCGGTCCAAGCTCTTTCACAAGAGAAGCCTTCTTGCCCAGTCCAATCCCATGTTCCCCAGACACGGTTCCCTGCATCTCTATTGCTACATCCACCATATTGCCCAGACACCGACGTACTGCTGCGGCCTCGGAGCGTATACTAGGGTTGTACAAGATGGCTTGATGAAAGTTTCCGTCTCCCACATGGCCAAGGACGCTTGAGAACAGGCCAAGACGAGATGCCGTCTCCTTAGAGAAATCAATAATCTCCGCCATACGTGACAACGGCACCGCCACATCCGTGGACCAGATCTCGGTTCCCGGAGGGCGAATTGCGAGCATCGACCACAGCGCCTGCTTCCTTGCTGACCAGAGGCTATTCATTTCCTCTTCTGACCTGGCGATCTGGAGCCCAGTGCCACCTAAGCCCTTGGAGAGGGCCTCGACTCGCTTGATGCTCTCCTGCACCACACCCTTTGTGCCAGAAAACTTGATAAACAAGGTAGCCTTTTCCGGCCAAATCCTCCCTCCTGCTCCTCCAGTCTCATTGATCACCTTCATCTGCATATCATCCATGAGTTCTAGGGCAGCCAGCGGTAAACCCTCACGGATCATAACAGACGCAGCTTTTGCCGCATCTTTGACGCTATCGAATGTTGTTGTAGCAACTCCGAAGTGAGTAGGAAGAACAGCGAGTTTCAGGGTCGCTTGGGTAATAATGCCGAGAGTGCCCTCTGATCCCGTGAAAAGTGAGTTCAGATTATAGCCTGCTGACGATTTTCGAGCTCGGCGCCGGGTCTTTATTACCTCGCCATCAGCCAGGACGACGGTAAGGTTGATGACCCAGTCTTTCATCGTACCATATCTCATAGCGTTTGTTCCACTGCAATTAGTAGCTACCATGCCCCCGATGAGAGCTGTTGGGCTGGGGTCTAGTGGCAAGAAGAGACCTGATGGTTTGATCTTCTCATTCAGCTGAACCCAATTGACCCCCGGCTCAACAACAATATCCATGTCCTGGCTATTAAATTCAACAATTCGGTTCATACGTGATAGGTCGAGGGTGATACCAGAGTATGGTGCGCTAGTATTGCCCTCAACACTGGAACCGGCACCGTAAGGAATCATTGGAACTTTGTACTTAGTGCATATCTTCGCTATTAATGATACATGCTCAGTACTTTGCGGATAGACGACCGCAATTGGGCGGACCTTGCTATTGGTAGTGGACCACTCTGAACTGCCGTGGTCATTGAGGTCGTCTTGATCCTCGCTTACGGCGTCGCTGCAAAGTATGGCTCTGATCTCATCGACAGCCTGCATAAGGGTTAGTCATCGTTGCGACACCAAGTGAAGATTCGTGATACAACCTTGAGCATCGTCTCTCGATCAGCATAGTCCGGGTACCCTGACGAGGGTTGCCCTGCCGCTTGTTGTCTAATGCCTGTTGTAGAAGCAGCAACTATCCCAGCAAGACCCGCCACTATACCCACAAGTCCATAACTGACCAAAGCCCGTCCGGCTCGAGGTTGTGCTGGCTTGTGGTACCTTCTAGCAGATAATCCTCGCAGCAGTTCATGTCGCGCGGAAAGCATGTAATTGCGGTAGACTATTAATCCGCGCAGCGATTTCATCTTTGCGGGATCGTCCGAACGAGAACGGGTATATCGGTGCGTGGGATGAGAAATAACGCCTGGCCGCAATACAAAGTCTTGCATACGCAGACTGTGCACTGCGAGAACAGCAAGTAAAGGCGGCCTCGGTCACTCGGGCATCTGAACACAACGCCAGCGAATTTCCACTTCCAACTTTTAGGGGCGTCGGCAATTCTTGGCCGATAGTGACTTGACGGTAATTCAAGAAGACGCAGCGGCAATTCCAAGCTAGGAATAGCACCCCCCGGATGATGCGGGAAATGAATTCCACAGGAATCGGGCCAGCGCAACAAAACATTGTCTGTGATTCGCTACTGAGTAATCTGTACAGATCGACTACTCTTAGTCTCCCCTCACAGTGCGGGGAAGCTCGACGTCCAGGCTCGAATATTGCTTCAATGTGGAGGTGATCACATGAGATGATTTAGAGCGATCAAAAGAGTGTATGACAAATGCTTACATTTGGCCCCGCATGAGCGTCAGACAAGGAGTCACAAGAGTGTGTGCGTATGTGTGTATGTGTGTATGTTTGTATGTAGCTACGAATAACTTCATAGGCTAACGCTGCCAGGTTGTTGTTCCGTTGTGTAGAAAGTCCTGACCCTTTGCTAACATACGACTATTTTCCTCGCCTAGCCATTGAGGTTCGAGCTTCTGCAAATTGTCTTCAATCTCATATGATTTTCCTCCGGCCACGTACAGGATCTTTCCGTGAAAAGGTAAGACACTTCCGGGATGTCGCCCTCCGGAGCCATTGGCGGTGGCGCAGATCAGCATAGAGGTTGCGATGTCCTCAGGCTCATTCATGGGCAAGTCCAGTTCCTCCCATGAAACAGCTATACCACTAGTCAATACCGTCCCTACGCATAGCTTTAGCTTCCGTCTAGTTTTGTTAAGCCATATATACTTACGTGTCGTCCAAGGGCATACGACATTGACTCGGATGCCATCATTTAAAGAAGTCAGGCGAAGTCCTCGCATCACCCCAATGACGCCATGCTTGGTGGAGAGGTACGGCGTGAGCTCAGCCGATTCCTTGAAGCCTCCTACACTGCTGACGAGAATAAGGTCGCCGCCGCCACGCTGCCTCAGGTAGTGCGTTGCTATTCGACTGGAGTACAGGACGCCTCTGAGGTTGATGTCGACCTCAGCTAGCGGAGGCTCCTGATTGACGTCGTCAATGACCGTGATCGGATCAGGGAGTTTGCCAATACCAGCGTTGGCAATCACAACGTCAACCCCACCGAAGTGCTGCTTTGCCTCTTGAAAAAGCAACAGTTGATCCTTGTACTTGGACACATCGCATTGCACAAAACGGAGTCCCCCCCCCGCCAGCGATGCTAACTTCTCACCTTCTTTGGCATTAACATCGCCTACAACAACCTTTGCGCCTCTTTCTTGGTTACAGCGTTAGCAACTTGTTTCCAAGTGACGCCAAAGCAGAGATGGGGGGAGAGAGAAAGAGAGTCCTTATCAACCTACCGTGAAAAGTAAGAGCGGCAGATCGGCCTATTCCACTGACACCTCCTGTGATAATTACCACCTTGTCTTTAATGGAATCCAACAAGGACTGGTCCGGTTCGACTAGAGACATGGCGGCTGTGTCAGCTGGTGTGAAATGGGTAAACAATAGAGTACTAATCAGTTTAGTTGCGCAAAGGGGCCTGCGTACAGTAAGTAGCCCCCAAGGGTACGAGATATGTAAGATTGATCTTTATTTTCAGTATGTTTCGGAGAGATCGCATGACCAAAAACGGATGCCGACAGTGCGGAGCTTCCCCGCAACCAACTTCTCCAAGCGGAAATCCCCATCCGGGTTAGGATGCCCCTTCAACCTATCTAGGTATGGATAATGCTAAGCTTGTCGGTTTTTCGAGGTGGCAAATCAAAGTTGACCGAGACTATTGGTTTCTGCCATCCTCGAGATTTATAATATAACAATGTTTGTTCTCTGCCATCTACAACCGCAAACTTGATCACGTTGTGAGGTTTAACTGACATTGCTCACTCTCTCCTACCAAGAAACTCAACTCTTGTCACTGCCAACGCATACCTGATTCCCTACATCTAGTCCGTGTCGACAAGTTCCAAATGGCAGATGGTTCCGTGGTCAGTGCTGGTGCCGCTAGCTGGCATGAGGTCCCTACGACCGGTGTCAAGGTCCACCTAAAGACTTTCATTGTGGTCATTGTAAGGTTACTCCGCGGTGCATGCTTCTTGAGCAAGTCTGACAAGCACCAATCCAGTGCATCAATCTCGTCTATTTCTCTCAGATCACGGCCATTATCGGTTCGGGATTTCTGGCCCAGCCTATTGCTGCGCTTGTTGGCGGCACCTCCCAGACTATGTGGTTCAACCAGTCCATCAACCTTTTGGGTATTGCTATCTGCCTTCCTGTGTCTCAAATGGCTGACTACTGGGGGAGGAGATGGGTCCTCATTATCCTACTAGTCATTGGCGTCGCAGGCGCTCTTATGGTCGCCCGAGCGCAAAACGTCGCAACTGTGATTGCCGGCTTCATTTTGATTGGTATCAACTATGGCTCTCAGCCTATCCTATTCGCCGTGCCGTCCGAGGTGTTGCCTAGAAAGCAACGTCCTATTGCTCAGGCTACTATTAACATGTCCGCTAGTATCGGTGGAGTCCTCAGTTTGGTTATGGGCGGTGCCCTTCTTCGATATAATCATATTGAGAATTACCGTATTTACTTTTATGTGGTAGCGATCTTTTATGCTCTTTCCTTTCTCGGTATTTTATTCTTCTATCACCCCCCACCACGAGAAGAGGAAGTCTCGCTTGAGTTTATGCAAAAGCTCAAGAAACTCGACTGGATTGGGTATGCTCTGTTCGCACCTGGACTGGCCATATTCTCTATGGGCCTATCATGGTATCAGAATCCGTATCCAGGGACTGACGTGCACGTCCTGGCACCCCTTATCATTGGTCTTGTTATAATCATCTGCTTCGGGCTGTACGAGTGGCGTATCAAAAAAGACGGTGAGATACTCCCCTTGATTCTTGCTTGTCAAGATGTTTGACTGATTCGCCCCCAATAGGCATTGTTCACCACGCGATCTTCAGGCACCGTAACTTACTCATCGGACTCCTCGCTGTGTGGATTGATGGAGTGAGCTTCTTTACAGCTAACTCATATTTCGCTCAGCAATTTGGTATGTTCACCGGCAAGGACATGCTTATGACAGGTGTTGCATTCGGCATGTTCTTTATGGTTGGTGCTGTCGCTACTATCGGCTTTGGCTGGGTATCCACCAAGTTCCGGAGCGTCCGAGTGCCGGGTATCATCAGTTTGGCTCTAGTTGTTCTCTTCAATGTCCTCATGGCGACCACGACACCCTCAACTCCTGAAGCAAACTACTGGGGCTATGCTGTCTTTGCTGGCCTTGGCCTCGGAGGTATCATCCCAACCTTTATGGTCGCCGCCCAGTTGACAACGCCACCAGAGATGATCTCTTTGGTATCCGGCCTCGTCAGTGTCTGCAGACCCATCGGAGGCGTTATTGGCTTAGCCATCAATAACGCCGTGAGGCATAATACCCTATCCGAGGAGCTACCTAAGAAGGTAGGCGCGGCAGTTCTCCCTCTCGGCCTTCCCAGGTCATCTCTCAGCCAGCTCATCATTGGCTTGGCGAATGGCGACAATGCCGGGCTGATCAAAATTCCGGGCACCACACCTGATATCATTACTGCAGCGACGGGTGCATTTTTGAGCGCAAATGGAGTTGCGTTCAGGAACTGCTGGATCACTGCCGCATGCCTGTGCGTACCTGGTGTCATTGGTCAGTATTTATCCTTATATTAACTTGAATTCACGACTGATTCTGTCTTAGTTGCCTGTTTCCTTAAGGATCCTCGCTCTGAATTCAAAGCGCATATTGATGCACCTGTTGAATACGAGGTAGCTGAGGAACAGAAGAGAGTAGAGACACAGCATGTTGAGGATACGGAGAATATCATGAAGGGAAAGGGTTCGGAGTGAAGTTGTATGATTATCTCGGAAGGAAAGCTGTGGGACACACCAATAAGCTTGTTGTTTATGGTGACTAGTTGTATGATCAAGGCGGTCGTACTTTATCATGAATATTCTTCAAATCTCAGTTCTCTTCTGCTATATATTTCTACTTGACAAAGTCCTCGTGACCTTACAATATAGATTGCACAAACTAAGCTTGCAGTACTGTTACTTGACTCGTGGTACTATATTTTGGGTTCTTTTCTATAACGCCTAGCCTCTGTACTTGAGTAATTACCACAGTTATAATATAGAGAGTTTTAATAGAAAGTTGAAATAAAAGAAGAAGTAAGATCTAATAACTTAATATAATAAATATAAAAGATTATTTATATTTAGATAAATAAAAAAATTTAAACTAAATTATTATTATTATTTACTCTAGGTACTAGATCTAACTAAGCTCTAGTTCTTCTATTAAATCTCTAATAGAGAAAAACCTTATATAAAGAATAAAAATCTTATTCTATTTATTTCTTATATAGTTTTATATAGAAACTAGTATAATTTTCTATTTTCTATTTTCTATTTTCTATTTATTTTCTATTTCTTTTTACTATTTAATATTTTTTTTTATTAGTTTTACTATAAATAAAAATATATTCTAAGATCAGATAATATATAATTTAATATATATTTTTTAAGAATATAATTAGTAGTTTATATTTAAACTTTTAATACTATAAGATAAAGTTAAAATTAAATACTTTTAGCTTAGATATAGATATTAATATCTTAAAAACTCTAATAATAAAAGCTATTTATATAGCTAGATATATAAATAGTCTAGCTATAATTATAATCCCTAAAGAGAAAAGCTTATTATCTAATAACTATATCTACTTACTAAGCTTATTAATTATTAATTAATTACTAGATATTTTAAATAATAATAGCTATAATAACTATATTTAATATAAATATTCTAATCTCTTAGAACCTAATTAATACTTCTAATAAAGCTCTTTAAAAGATAATAATTATTATTAGAGATAATATAAGATAGTTATTTACTAACTATATTTATTATATATTACTCTGATTAGTTAAGAGTCTACTTATAATAATAAAGCTATTTTTAATAGTATAGATTAAATAGCTATATCTACTTAGTCTATTACTTTATTATATAGTCTATCTAGAGCTATAATAGAGATTTATAGAGGATAGAGACTAGCTAGAAGAAAAACTATATCTTAAAAATAGCTATCTATTTATATAGATCTACTATAATCTAATATATAATTTATAGTTTTAATATATTATATACTATATTAAGATAATTAGAGTAGAGATAGTTTTTAAAAGTTAATTAAGCTTATATTTTTATTTTTAATTATCTAGTTTAGATTTAGATTAGAATATTAGATTAAATTAGATTAGGATATTAGAAAAGTATTTATTATTAGTTAGAAATAATAAGAATAAAAAGTTAGTTACTTTTAAAATTATAAGTTAATTTATTTCTATAAGTATAGTATATATTTACTACTCTAGGAAATTTTATTAGAAATAATATAGATTTAATATTAATCTAATATCTATTTATATATATTTAGTTATATTATATAATAACTATTTAATATTAATAAAATAGTTTTTAATTTATATTCTATTTAAATATAATATAATTCTATTTAGAAATTAATATTTTTTTTAAAATAATTAAAATATTTAATTAGAAGAAGTTTATTTATTTTTATCTAATTAATAAGTTAATTTTCTATTTCTAATTTTTTATTTTCTTTTTATAAGATATTTAAAAATTTATTAATTATACTAACTCTCTAAATATTTAATTTAATTTCTATTTATTTTTAATATAATTATTAACTAGTTTTATTATTTTTATTTTTTTTATTTATTTTTTTAAACTTTAGAATAATAAAATATAATTATAGTTTTAATTTAAATTAATTATAATATAGATTTTTTATAGATTTTATTAAATATAACTCTCTAATTAGATAAGTATTATCTATATATAATTACTACTTTTAGAATTATAAAGTAATAAGAAAAAAAGATAATTAGTAATTCTTATAAGTAGATTATATTTAGTAATAATAATATAAATATCTTATATAAATTAACTCTATCTAGAGCTCTAAGATATAGCTATTAGATCTAGATAATAATTCTAAGAGAATTCTTTTAATACTAATTAATATTATATTTATTTATAATATAAATTAATAAGATAGAGAAATTAGAATTAATCTAATATTATAGTAAGAAACTATATATAAGAGCTTAAGAATAACTTTATAAAAGAGTAAATAAGAATTTTTATAGTTTAAACTATATAATTAGTTCTAAGATATAACTTATAAAGTAGATAATATATCTAATTTTATAATTATATAAGTACTTTTATAGTTTAAGCTATATAACTAAGCTTTAATTAAAATTATTAAAGCAAAGATTAAAACTATTAACTATAATAATAATAAATTAGTTAATATAGAGCTAGTTTTAAACTTTAGTTAAAATTACTAAAATAATAATATAGTTAAAATACTATTTAAAATATAATTAAAAGTAAAACTTAAAGTATAATTTAAAGAGTTATTTAATAAGTTTAAAATAATAAAGTTTCTATAATTAATAAAAAAAGCATTTAATTTTAAATTTATCTTTAAAAAATCTTTATATAAGCTTAATATATTTCTAAATAAAGCTAATAAAGATTATAAAAATATATAGATTCTTAAGATAATATTTATATATAATAATAAAGTAGTATTATAAATTATATTATTATATACTGAGTTATATAGTAAACTCTATTTTTTCTAACTAATTATTAATAGATTATTAGGATCTTATAATAATCCTAATAATTTAGAATAATAAATTATTATTAAGCTTTAATAATCCCCTAGTATATCTATATATTTATTTTATTAGATAAAATATTCTTTTAAATAGTTATTAATAAACTATAATTATCTATATATCTATTATTATTAGTTTTATAATATTTATATATTAATAGTAATTTATATTATATAGTTTATAATAATCTAATTATATTATTTAGAATAATACTCTAATTAATTTAATTCTAATTTACTCTAGATTCTATCTAGTATAAGTTATCTAATTATTATATATTAATAACTCTTATTTAGCTAATTATTTTATTTTAATTACTATATAATAATAAAGAAAATATTATAATTATTATAATTTCTTTAATCTAGTAGTAGAACTCTATTATTAATAATCTATTTACTCTAAATAATAATAATAATATTATAAATAAAGATAGTAATAAAAGTAATAGTAAGAGTAATAATAATATTAAAATTAAACTTCTATAAGTATAAATTCTTTAGTTTTAAAAATATATTATAACTATATAATAAAAAAAATTATTATTACTATTTTTATAAAATAATAAATTATTTAGAATATTAATCTTTAGATTTAGATTTAGATTATAATCTAAAAAAAAGAACTAGAAATATTATTTAAATTATTACTATTTAAAATATTTAATAGAATTTAAAATAAACTTTAAAACTTTATAATCTAGTTTTAAATATATTTTAATTACTTCTCTATTACTTTTAATAATAATAAATAATAAGTTATTTATATTTATTTATAATTTAAAGAAATTATATTTAATTAGTTTAAACTTATTATAAAAGAATATCTTAATAAATAAAGAAATTAATAAACTATTAATATTATAATAAGTTTTAATTATTTTATAAATATCTTTTAATAAATATTTAAAATTTAAAATAAAAGATATAAAATTAAATATAAAATTAATAAACTCTTTTAAATTAAATCTATTTCTACTTTTAATAATAAGTATTTTTAGCTTTTAATAAAAACTAGATAAAACTAAGAATATATTATATTTTATTACTTTAATAGATTAAAAAAAGAAGTTTAAAAAGAACTCTATAAAGAAAATAAATTAATAAGTATTTATAAATATATAATTATAATTATAAGAATTAATAAATTATAGTATTATTAGTAAATATATAGTAAAAAAGTAATTAATTATACTAATACTAGTTAATTAAGATATTAATAATAATCTATAATCTTTAGAATATATATAGATTCTATAGAGCTAAGAGCTATAGAAAAATATAAGTATTATAATTATAATAAAATTAGATATATTTTCTTATAATATTCTAAATTAAAAAAAGTAGAAGAATTAGAAATCTATTAGAAAAAATAGAAAATAATTAGAAATAATTAAAAAAAATTAAAATTAAAGCTAAATATAATAAACTATATATATACTATTAAAAGAAAATATAAAATTAGAATTTAGAATAAAATATAGAATTAGTATTCTATAAAAAGAATATTATAAATATTATTTAATACTCTAATAATAGATATAATAATTCTATTTATATAAAAACTAATAGTATCTATAACTATAAATAAGAATTATAGCTAACTTACTATACTATATAATATACTAGTAAGAAAAAATAATATATAATTTTTTTTTATTTTCTAATAAAAGAATATTTAGAAAATATAAAATAGTTTAAATATAATAATTTACTAAGAGTATATATAATTTCTATAGTTAGTTAGGGTAATTTACTATATACTACTTAAGCAGTAAATTATTTACTGCTCTAAAAATAAAAAACTATCTTTACTCTTAAATTATTCTTTATTTTTAAAATTATAATCTTTAACTTATTATTCTATAGCCAGTTTAGCTTATATAATAACCTAAATAGTCTTATTTAATTAATTAAATACAGAAGTCCCTAACTAAATACTAAATATATATATAATTAATTATAGTTATTAGCTTTAACTATACAGCTTAGTTATAATTCCTCTCCTTTAACTGATATTAATATTATAACCATAGATCTACCCGGTCTTTAGTTATAGTATTATTAGTTAGAAAATTCTACTAGTACTTATTACTTACTAATATTATAAAATAAAATTCTATATTATTT